TTATAATTTAAACATTACTGACAAGTCTTTTTTAAATGAAACTTTAAGAAAATATTTTACATGCAAATATAAATATCCATGTCAAATTTGGCAAATTTTTTGATGAATTTAAAATTTGGCCAAAAAATTTGATGAATTTAAAACTTTAAAATTTAGTGACAAGTCTTTTTTACTAGAAACTTTTACACAGGATTTTACATGCAAATAGAAATATCCATGTCAAATTTGGGAAATTTTTTGATTAATTTAAAATTTGGCCAAATAATGTATGGTACCCCTAGAGCTCGAGGCCAAAATTAAAAAAATTATAATTTAGACAATACTGACAAGTCTTTTTGATATGAAACTTTTATAAAGGATTTTACATGTAAATATAAATATCCATGTCAAATTTGGCAAATTTTTTGATGAATTTAGAATTTGGTCAAAAAATGTGATGGTACCCCTAGAGTTCGAGGCCAAAACTAAAAAAAATTATAATTTATACATTACTGACTAGTCTTTTTGACATGCAAATTTTACAAAGGATTTTACATGTAAATATAAATATTCATGTCAAATTTGGAAATCTTTTTGATGAATTTTAAAATTAGCCAAAAAATGTAATGGTACCCCAAGAGAGCCCGAGGCCGAAACTAAAAAAATTATAATTTAGTCATTAACGACAAGTATTTTTAAAAAGGAATTTAAAAGCAAATAGAAATATCCATATCAAATTTGGTTATTTTTTGATGAATTTAAAATTTGGCCAAAATGTGATGGTACTCCTAGAGCTCGAGGCCAAAACAAAAAAAATTATAATTTAGACATTAACAACATGTCTTTTTAACATTAAACTTTTACAAATGAATTTAAAAGAAAATAGAAATATCCATATAAAATTTGGCAAGTTTTTTGATGAATTTAAAATTTGACCAAAAAATGTGATAATACCCCTAGAGCTCGAGGCTAAAACTAAAAAGATTATAACTTATGCATTACTGACAAGTCTTTTAGACATGAAACTTTTTCAAAGGATTATACATGCAAATAGAAATATCCATATTAAATTTGGAAAATTTTTTGATGCATTTAATATTTGGCCAAAAAATGTGATGGTACCCCTAGAGCTCGAGGCCAAAACTAAAAAAATTATAATTTAGACATTACTGACATGTCTTTTTTTTAACAGAATGCACGTTTCATTTCATCACCAAGTCAAAAAAGTACAATTTGGAAAAACTCAACTACGAACCTGTCTACCCATTACCTTTTACATTTCCCCCAAAAACTCCGTAATTGAAAAACTATCCAATCTACCATATCATCCTCTTTCATTCTAATTTTCGAATGATTACGTTTGTTCCTAGCTTTCCATATAACATAACAAAGTGCAGCAAACGTGGCTATACTTCGTTTCTTCCTCTTTCCTTTAAGCTGTAAACTTTGCCTTCGGATTTCTTCCACCGATCTCCCATCCATGGTATAATGCAGGATATTAGCCACTCATCTGGTTAGCTTTTGAGTGACTTGACAACGACAAAACAAGTGGTCTATATCTTCATCTTCTTGTCCACATAAATCACAGGTTCTATCAATGTCCAGAAATCTCTTAAGCCTGGTTTTCTTGCTGATTCGACTCCTACAAATCAGCCATAGGATCATTTGGTGTTTTGGGATAGTCTGTTTGTTCCAGACAAACGAAACCCATTCAGGTTTCTCCTTTACCCCTAGTAACCATTCATAGCCCTTTTCTGTTGAATAGTCCTCAGATCCCTGCATCTGCTCAAAATGTTTCCTATTGCTGATGATCTTCTTCCAATAAAAACATTTATCACCCTTTAGGCTATAACTGCTCAAATCATTTTTGATGTATCTTTCATAAATCCATTTCACCCAAAGACAATCTTTTTTCTTGGCAATATCCCACTAATAGTTTTGGATATAGGCTTTATTCCAGAGCACCATATTCCTGAGCCCTAGTCCCCCACACGTCTTAGGTACACAGACCTCATCCCAGCTTACCAAAGGTATTTTAGAGTAGTTAGCAGTAGCCCCCCATAAGAAGTTCCTACAAATACTCTGTACTTTCTTCATGACTTTATTAGGGATAATGAACATCTTACACTAGAAGGTCATAATACCATGCAGTACACTTCCTATCAGCCTACATCTACCCGCATATGATAAATGTTTATTGGCCCATGAAGTGATCTTACAGGTCACATTCCTTCTCACCTATTCTTGAAGCTGTTATGGGACACCCTAGGTATCTGAGTGGTAAATCCCCCACTGGCAGGTTTGTCAAGCTCAAGAGTCTCTTTTGTGTTTCCATGTCCACCCCGCCAAAAATAATTTGTGATTTTGCAAAGTTAATACTCAAGCCAGTAGTCCTATGAAATTTGTTTAGGACTTCCATCACACAATTCAATGACTTCTCCTCAGCTTTACAGACGATAATTAAGTCATCTGCAAAGCATAAATTGGTTAGTTTAAGAGAACTGCACATAGGGTGAAACCTGAATTCCTTTGAATCAGACATTTGTTGCATCAATTTGCTCAAATACTCCATTACAAGGACAAATAACAAAGGGGATATTGGGTCCCCCCGCCTAAGTCCCCTCTGACCTTTAAAATAGCCAAACAGTCCTCCATTAAGTTGTATTGTGAAAGCTGGGGTAGATATGCAGTATTCTATCCACTCCACAAATTGGTGAGGGAATTTCAAGGCCTCCATAATCTGCACCACTGCCCTCCAACTCACAGTATCATAAGTTTTCTTAATGTCCAATTTCATTAGACACCTTAGGGAGATCCCCTTCCTTTTGTATCCCCTAGTTAGCTCATGGCATATAAGAACATTAAGGACTAGGTAACACTTCCTTGAGCTTACTACATAGTACCTTTGAAAGAATTTTGTATATCACATTGCAACAGGCAATTGGCCTAAAGTCAGTAGCCTGTATTGGTGTTTCAACTTTAGGAATCACAGTGATATTAGTAGAGTTGATTTGTTTCAAGAATCTTCCATATTTAAAGAAATCGAGCACTGATCTTGAAACTAAACCCCCCACCAGATTCCATTGATTTTTATAAAATCCACTACTAAATCCATCCGGGCCTGGGCTCTTGCAGTTAGGTATTCCAAACACTATTTCCTTGATTTGCTCTTCCCTGACTTCTGAAAGAAGGGCCAGCTGCTGATTTAGTGACAGTATTCCCCCCTTTTCCATTGCCCTAGTGTCCACATCTTCTGTATTTATTCCTATCCCAATAAGCTTTTTGTAATACTGTAGTGACATTACTGACATGTCTTTTTGATATGAAACTTTTAGAAAGGATTTTACATGCAAATATAAATATCCATGTCAAATTTGGCAAATTTTTTGATGCATTTAAAATTTGGCCAAAAAATGTGATGGTACCCCTAGAGCTCGAGGCCAAAACTAAAAAAATTATAATTTAGACATTACTGACAAGTATTTTTTAAATGAAACTTTAAAAAAGGATTTTACATGCAAATATAAATGTCCATGTCAAAATTGACAAATTTTTTGATAAATTTAAAATTTGGCCAAAAAATGTGATGGTACCCCTAGAGCTCGAGGCCAAAACTAAAAAAATTATAATTTAGACAATACTGACAAGTCTTTTTGATATGAAACTTTTACAAAGGATTTTACATATAAATATAAATATCCATGTCAAATTTGGCAAATTTTTTGATGAATTTAGAATTTGGTCAAAAAATGTGATGGTACCCCTAGAGCTCGAGGCTAAAACTAAAAAAAATTATAATTTATACATTACTGACAAGTCTTTTTGACATGCAACTTTTACAAAGGATTTTACATATAAATATAAATATCCATGTCAAATTTGGAAATCTTTTTGATGAATTTTAAAATTGGCCAAGAAATTTGATGGTACCCCAAGAGAGCTCGAGGCCAAAACTAAAAAAATTATAATTTAGTCATTAACGACAAGTCTTTTTAACATGAAACTTTTACAAAGGAATTTAAAAGCAAATAGAAATATCCATATCAAATTTGGTTAGTTTTTTGATGAATTTAAAATTTGGCCAAAATGTGATGGTATCCCTAGAGCTCGAGGCCAAAACAAAAAAAATTATAATTTAGACATTAACAACATGTCTTTTTAACATGAAACTTTTACAAATGAATTTAAAAGAAAATAGAAATATCCATATAAAATTTGGCAAGTTTTTTGATGAATTTAAAATTTGACCAAAAAATATGATAATACCCCTAGAGCTCTAGGCTAAAACTAAAAAAATTATAATTTATGCATTACTGACAAATCTTTTTGACATAAAACTTTTACAAAGGATTATACATGCAAAGAAAAATATCCATGCAAAATTTGGGAAATTGTTTGACGAATTTAATATTTGGCCAAAAAATGTGATGGTACCTCTAGAGCTCGAGGCCAAAACTAAAAAAAATTATAATTTAGAGATTACTGACAAGTCTCTTTATATGAAACTTTTAGAAAAGATTTTACATGCAAATATAAATATCCATGTCAAATTTGGTACATTTTTTGATGAATTTGAAATTTGGCCAAAAAATGTGATGGTAACACTGAATGGATGTTGAGTATGGGAACTAAACTTGTGGTCAAGGAGGAAAGTCTGTCTGATCACTCTCCTCTATTGCTTTACCAAAGCATGGAAAGAAATAATAGAAGTTTTAAGTTTTGTGATATGTGGACACTGGACCCAAGTTTTCCACAAATAGTAAAGGAAGTGTGGGAAAGGAACATAAATGGCTACCCCATGTATCAGCTTTGTAGAAAATTAAAAGAGCTCAAGCCCCTCCTTAAGAAGCTACATAGAAACAAATTTGGGAAGGTAGAACAGCAGACTGATATGGTGAGACAGAAATTACAGTTGGTCCAGGCCAACTTAAAATGTTCCAGTACTCAGGAGCTCATTCAAGAAGAGAGGGAACTCATTAAGAAGCTAAACTACCAGATCAGGGCTACTTCCCTGATGATAAATCAGATGAATAAGAGAGATTGGATCCAAGAGAGTGATCAGAACTCAAAACTGTTCTTCTCATGGATCAAAAAAAAGAAGACTCCAAAACCAAGTATTAACTATTAAGAATGAGATGGGGCAATTAGTGGAAGGGGATAAGAAGGTGGCAGAGACACTGGTTAGCTACTTCCAGGATCTAATAGGCACTCAATCTGATATAGAAGATGTAGACATGGAAGCCATGAAGGAAGGCACAAGTCTGAATATAGACCAACAGCTCACTCTTATAGTAGAAGTGAAAAGGATACAGGTGAAGGAAGCTCTGTTCAGTATCCTTAATTCAAAAAGCCCTGGCCCAGATGGTTTTAGTAGTGGATTCTTTAAGAATCAATGGGAAGTTGTAGGGGAGCTAATTACTGAGGCTATCCTGGACTTCTTCAAAGGGAAATTTCTAAGACAAATTAATGCTACATCCCTCACAGTGATTCCTAAAGTGGAGCCACCAAAGATGGCTAATGATTATAGACCAATAGCTTGTTGTAATGTGGTATATAAAGCCATTTCAAAAATACTGTGCAGCAAATTGAAGGAGATTCTCCCAGTACGGGTTCTCCCAGATGCCTAATCAAGCTGGATATTAGGAAGGTTTATGACACAGTGAATTGGAAGGCTGTTCTAAGAATTATGGAGCTGCTGAATTTCCCTAGTCAATTTGTGGCTTGGATTGAGATGTGCATAACCACCCCCTCTTTCTCTGTACAGATTAATGGAGAAAGCTATGAGTTCTTTAAGGGGAAGAAAGGACTCAGACAAGGAGACCCTATTTCCCCTATGCTCTTTATTTTAGTCATGGAGTACCTTAATAGGCTGCTTCAACAGATGGCAAAAGACAAAAGATTCAAATTTCACCCCATGAGCAGATCTTTAAAACTGGTAAATTTGAGTTTTGCAGATGACCTAATCATAGTATGCAAGGCTGAGGAGGAGTCTCTGAATTGTATTATGGAGGTTATGAGGAAATTCCAGAAGTCTACAGGTTTGGGCATTAACTACACCAAATCACAAATTATTTTTGGAGGTGTGGACAAGAAGGACCAAGAGCATTTCCTGAAGCTAACCAATCTGCCCTTTGGTGAGCTTCCAATCAGATACCTTAGAAGTCCAATTTCTGCAGGTAGGCTCAGTGAGAGGGAGTGTGACAAGCTAGTGAGTAGCTTAACAGATAGAGTGACCATCTGGGCATCCAAACATATGTCCTATGCTGGTAGGAGTAAGTTGATTAATAGTGTGCTCTTTGGAATTATGACGTTCTGGTGCCAACTGTTTATTATTCCAAATAAAGTAATGAGGAAAGTGCAAGCCATCTGTAGGAACTTCCTATGGGGGCTTCAGCCAACTACCTAAAACACCCTCTGGTCAGATGGGAAGATGTGTGTTTACCAAAAATACATGGAGGTCTAGGGCTGAGGAACATGGTCTTTTGGAACAGAGCTTTCATCCACAATTATTGGAGGGACGTGGCTAAAGATAAGAACAACCTATGGGTAAAATGGATCCATGAGAGATATGTAAAGGGGGACGTTGTGAGCTACATTTTGAGAGGAGAAACCTGTTACTATTGGAAGAAAATTATACAAAACAGGAAGTGGTTTGACCAAATGCCAAGGGACAGAGAATACACAATAGAAGAGGGGTATAGATGGTTGATGGGGCAAAGGAGGAAGGAGGACTGGATCTCTTTTGCCTGGAACAAACTATCTTGTCCAAAGCATCAGTTCTTTGCCTGGCTAATCTGTAGAGGAAGAGTGAACACAAAGACAAGGGTGGGGAAATACATACCTATTAACATGGTGTGTGATCTGTGTCAAGGTAGTCTGGAGGATGCTGATCATCTCTTTAGCACCTGTCCTCTCACTAAGTCTTTGCTAATGAAAATCTCTGACTGGTTGGAGATTAGGATGGAGGGCAATAGTGTTCAAGACATCAGAGAAAACCTGATGAGAGTCCGAGGGAGAAGAAGGGATAGAGGCATTAGTGCTTTTGTAGCTACATGCTACCATAAACAGGAGCAGCCACAGCTAAAAGTAATGTATAACAGCATCCTTCTTTGTCTGACAGCTTATTGGGGGAAGGGGCCGAAGAAATAGTTTTTGCACTGTATGGGGTTTGTAGTTAGTTGGCTTGATAGGCAAAGTTTGTAAACTGTTTTGGGGGACTTGTGTTTGATTTAATGAAAGTGCATTTTTGTTCAAAAAAAACCTTAGAGCTCGAGGCCAAAACTAAAAAAATTATAATTTAAACATTAACAACATGTCTTTTTGACAAGAAAATTTTACACAGGATTTTACATGCAAATAGAAATATCAATGTCAAAGTTGGGAAATTTTTTGATGAATTTAAAATTTGGCCAAAAAATGTGATGGTACCCCTAGAACTCGAGGCCAAAACTAAAACATTATAATTTAGACAATACAGACAAGTCTTTTTGACATGAAACTTTTACAAAGGATTATACATGCAAAGAAAAATATCCATGCAAAATTTGGGAAATTGTTTGATAAATTTAATATTTGGTTAAAAAATGTGATGCTACCCCTAGTCGCTAGAGCTCGAGGCCAAAACTAAAAAAATTATAATTTAGACATTACTGACAAGTCTTTCTTAAATGAAACTTTAAGAAAGGATTTTACATGCAAATATAAATATCCATGTCAAATTTGGCAAATTTTTTGATGAATTTAAAATTTGGCCAAAAAATGTGATGATACCCCTAGAGCTCGAGGCCAAAACTAAAAAAAGTATAATTTATACATTACTGACAAGTCCTTTTGACAACAAACTTTTACACAGGATTTTACATGCAAATAGAAATATCCATGTCAAAGTTCAGAAATTTTTTGATGAATTTAAAATTTGGCCAAAAAATGTGATGGTACCCCTAGAACTCGAGACCAAAACTAAAAAATTATAATTTAGACAATACTGACAAGTCTTTTTTATATGAAACTTTTAGAAAGAATTTTACATGCAAATATAAATATCCATGTTAAATTTGGCAAATTTTTTTATGAATATAGAATTTGGTCAAAAAATGTGATGGTACCCTCTAGAGCTCGAGGCCAAAAATAAAAAAATTATAATATATATATTACTCACAAGTCTTTTTGAGATGCAACTTTTATAAAAAAAATTTACATGTAAATATAAATATCCATGTCAAATTTGGAATTTTTTGATGAATTGTAAAATTGGCCAAAAAATGTGATGGTACTCCTAGAGAGCTCGAGGCCAACACTAAAAAAAATTATAATTTAGACATTAACGGTTGAAACACAGGCTTGTCCTATTTTCGTACTAAAGCCGTGTTCGTTTTTATGACAGGTTTTGATAATGCCAAACCGCCGTGATCAAGACAAACATTGAATATACAAGGCGAAGAACGAAGATAAAGAACAAGAGCTAATAGAGACCAAGAACGAAGACCGTAGTCTTTAGTATCGTTGAGTCGGTCATAATTGTGATCAAGACCGACCCAACCCTCACGCACTGGCTCTTTAGGCTAAAATATTTCATTGCATGTCTTACATCATAAAAATGTTTTTCAAACTTGTTTAAGTCATTAAAAACACTTGGTGTTCGCCCAAACCAAAAACCAAGCCATTCAGCGTTCGGCTTTCAGAAACTGGCGTTCGATTTTCGGTTATCGGCATTGGTTTTTGGCGTCCGAACCAACCAAGTGGTTTTCAAAATTTTATGATTGGTTTTCACTCTCTGGCATGTTTAAAAAGTTATCCAACAAAAACACTTTGAAAACGACCTTTCGCTTTTGGTCGTTTGGCAAAAACCACGCTAAACGATATAAACTTGGCTAGCCGTGGTTTTTACTCAAATGACATGGTTTTTAAAGTGTCTCACTTGATTTCTTAGCAAAACACATCAAATAAGTGTTTTAAACACTTGGTTTGTATTTTGGGGAACTTTGGACTTTTTGGTTGGTTTTTGCATCGGTTGGCTAGGCCGTGGTTAAGGCAAAAACCATGGGTTTTTGGCTAACCACCCACCCAGCGATGGGAAGAACTTCCCATCAATGGGTAGGCGGTTCTTCAGCCTAACCAAGTTCGAGAACCATGCCAAACAGCGATGGGAAGTTCTACCCATCGCTGTTAAAGCCTAGGTCCAACATCAACACAAGGCAGACCGTTGGAAGTACTTTAAGGTTGATTCTTTCCTTGTTTGGAAGTCAACCTCCCACCCAGCGATGGGAAGCTTGTACCCATCGATGGGTAGGTAACCGTTGGCCTCAAAACTGAAGGAAAATTGGCTTACCAGCGATGGTTGAGTCTAAACATCGATGGGAAGCCAATATCCTGCAGATCCCAAATTTTTTCAACCCCATAAATCAAGCAAATCACCCCTTTAATGCATTGGTCCGTTGGAGCCTATTTTGGCACTATAAAAAGGGGTGTTTGGGTCTGCTTTACACATCAATTCACTTCACAATTCTCCTACTTTCATTGCATTCAACAACATTCTTTTCCATATCTTTTTAGAGCCATTTTGTGTGAAGGTTGAGTTGTTCTTGAGCGTACATAGTTTACTCAATATCTACTCTAAAAGAGAGTCGTGTTCTTGAGTGTATTTGTGTTTTAGACACACAGAGAGAAAGTATTTCTCTCATTTGATTCAAAGGAAGGGTTGTTTCCTTTGAAAGATTCATTGAGGTTCGTGTGACTCGAACTCTCAAGTTGTAAGGGTTTGTTAAGCACCGTTAAGCTTAACGAGATAGTAGTGTAGCTCGAGAGAGTCTCTCGGGAGGCTGGATTAGCCACAAGTTGTGGTGAACCAGGGTAAAATTCAGTGTGCCTCTTACTCTTCTTTTTACTTCTCTCTTAAATTTTTAATTCCTGCGATTTCTACGATCAAACGCTATTCACCCCCCTCTAGCGTTGGTCTATTATTCTAACATTAACGACAAGTCTTTTTAACATAAATTTTTACAAATGATTTCAAAAGCAAATAGAAATATCCATGTAAAATTTGGCAAGTTTTTTGATGATTTTAAAATTTGAACAAAAAATGTGATAATACCCATAGAGCTCAAGGCTAATGCAAAAAAAATTATAATTTATGCATTACTGACAAGTCTTTTTGACATGAAACTTTTACAAAGGATTATACATGCAAAGAAAAATATCCATGCAAAATTTGGGAAATTGTTTGATGAATTTAATATTTGGCCAAAAAATGTGATGATACCCCTAGAGTGTTAGCCTTGGTTTGCTAAGTCTCATATTTTGATGTTAACAAACAATATAAGAGTTTGACGTTTGTTTAAGTGTTTTAAGTACAACAAGAATCCATTAAAATTCGGTACTCAAGTATGAAGTCGAAACACTAAACTAGCGTAGAATATAGGTAGAAACCAATGTAAGGATATGACTTTATATACCTATATTCACAAGCTCAAAAGCACTCACAAAATATGTTTAAAACCATCCCATAAACATTTTCAAAATATCCAAAAGGTTTTAAACTCAAACGCGAAGGATTACGGGAATTTTTGAAAAAGCATGACAGTGGCACGGTACCCCTAGCGGTACCCCAAATGGTAGGGTATACCGCCTACACGGTACCCCCATACCGTGTAACGGTACCCAGGTACCGTACGGTAGGCACACACGGTAGGCCACCCCGTCCTAACCCGGTACCGCCAGAGGTGAAAACTTATTTTGGCCTATACGGTACCCCCACACGGTAGGCCGTACCGTGTCACGGTACCTAGGTACCGGATGACACGGACCCCCTACCGTGAAGGGTACCGGATCCGTTACAGCATTGTAGCAAAATTGCCAATTTGAATTAAATCAACCCTAATCACCTCCCAACGGCTAATTAACATCTTCCACTATAAATACAAGCCTAATCCTTCATATTTCTTCAAGAAACAAAGCTCTAAACATCCTCTCTTTTTATTCTAAGTTTGTTCATCCTTTTATTAATTATTTTAAATAGTTTGGCTATTTTAAGAGCCTTAAATTCCTTATTTTTATACACACACTTTGAGCTTGTGTTTCTAGTTATATACTCTCATATTCATAAGTTTGAATTGTATTCTTGAGAGAGTATACCTTCTTTCTACACCGGCTAAGTTTTGTTCTTCATTTTTATATTCAAGCCATTGTGTAGAACCTTTGTTCGTGTTCTTCAAACACACCTTCTTATGATCGAGAATAGCCGTTAAATTCTCACGTTGTAACGGTTAAGGATAGCCGTAAAAATCCTTGGGTAAAGGTTCAAGGATAGCCTTTGAAATCCTTGGGGGAACGGTTGAAGATAGCCGTTAAATCTTCATTGTAAACGGTTCGAGATAGCCGTTGTGAAATCTCGGAGTGAATCCTATTGGCAAGGGTTGTTTTCCAAAACTAGTGCGGTGCTTTGACGGAGTTCAAGAGGCCGAGACTTAGTGGATTCGGAAATCCTTGAGGAGGAGCCTCGAGGTATTGGAGTAGGGGTTTCCCGAACAAGTATAAAATCGGTGTGCATTTTATTTACGCTTTTATTTCTGCGTTTTAGCTATTGCTTCCGCATTTGCCAACACCGTTTTTATCAAACTCCGAAAAGTTTTTCAAACGCCTTATTCACCCCCCCCCCCCCTCTAAGGCGTGGGCACAACGTCTAAATCGAATAACATAGAGCTCGAGGCCAAAACAAAAAAAATTATAATTTAGACAATACTGACAAGTCTTTTTTTATGAAACTTTTAGAAAAGATTTTACAAGCAAATATAAATATCCATGTCAAATTTGGCACATTTTTTGATAAATTTAAAATTTGGCCAAAAAATGTGATGATACCCCGAGAGCTCTGTTAGTCGGTTTAGTCGTTGTGCCCACGCCTTAAAGGGGGGTGAATAAGGCGTTTTAAAATCTTTTCGGAGTTTAATAAAAACGGTGTTGGCAAATGCGGAAGCAATATATAAAACGCAGAAATAAAAGCGTAAATAAAATGCACACCGATTTTATACTGGTTCGGGAACTCCCTACTCCAGTACCTCGAGGCTCCTCCTCAAGGATTTCTGAATCCACTAAGTCTCGGTCTCTTGAACTCCGTCAAAGCACCGCACTAGTTTGGCAAACAACCCTTGCCAATAGGATTCACTCCGAGATTTCACCACGGCTATCTCGAACCGTTTACAACTAAGATTTAACGGCTATCTTCTACCGTCCCCCTAGGATTTCAAAGGCTATCCTTGAACCTTTACCCAAGGATTTATACGGCTATCCTCGACCGATACAATATGAGAATTTAACGGCTATTCTCGACCGTATAAAGAAGTGTTTGAAAAACACAAAAGAGGATTCTACACAACGGCTAGAATATAAAAATGAAGAACAAAACTTAGCCGGTGTAGAAAGAAAGTATACTCTCTCAAAAATACAATTCAAACTTATGAATATGAGAGTATATAACTAGAAACACAAGCTCAAAGTGTGTGTATAAAAATCAGGAATTTAAGGCTCTTGAAATAGCCAAAATATTGAAAATAATTAATAAAAGAATGAACACACTTAGAATATAAAGGGAGGATGTTTNACAACGGATCCGGTACCCTTCACGGTAGGGGGGTCCGTGTCATCCGGTACCTAGGTACCGTGACACGGTATAGCCTACCGTTTGGGGGTACCGTGTCTTCCAAAAGTTCGGTTCGCCTCTGGCGGTACCTGGTTAGGACGGGTTCGGCCAACCGTCTACGCCTACCGTCGGTACCTAGGTACCGTCACACGGTATGGGGGTACCGTGTAGGCGGTATACCCTACCGTGTGGCGTACCGCTAGGGGTACCGTGACTCTGTTCTGATTTTTCCAAAATTCCCTTAATCCTTCGTGTTTGAGTTTAAAACCTTTTAGATATTTGAAAATGTTTATGTGATGGTTTTAAACATATTTTGTGAGTGCTTTTGAGCTTGTGAATATAGGTATATAAAGTCATATCCTTACATTGGTTTCTACCTATATTCTACGCTAGTTTAGTGTTTCGACTTCATTCTTGAGTACCGAATCTTAATGGATTCTTGTTTTCCTGAAACACTTAAACAAACGTTAAGCTCTTATATTGTTTGTTAACATCAAAACATGAGACTTAGCAAACCAAGGCTAACAAGCTCGAGGCCCAAAACTAAAAAAAATTAATTTATACATTACTAACAAGTCTTTTTGACAAGAAACTTTTACACAAGATTTTACATGCAAAAAGAAATATCCATGTCAAATTTGGGAAATTTTTTGATGAATTTAAAATTTAGCCAAAAAATGTGAGCTCATGGCCAAAACTAAAAAATTTATAATTTATACATTACTAACAAGTCTTTTTGACAAGAAACATTTACACAGGATTTTACATAAAATAGAAATATCCATGTCAAATTTGGAAAATTATTTGATGAATTTAAAATTTGTCCAATAAATGGGATGGTACCCTAAGAGCTCGAGACCAAAACTAAAAAAATTAAAATTTATACATTACTGACATGTCTTTTTGACAAGAAAATTTTACACAGGATTTTACATGCAAATAGAAATATCCATGTCAAATTTGGGAAATTTTTTGATGAATTTTAAATTTCGCCAAAAAATGTAATAATACCCCTAGAGCTCAAAGCCAAAACCAAAAAAAATTATTATTTAGACATTAACGACAAGTCTTTTTAAAATGAAACTTTTACAAATGAATTTAAAAGCAAATAGAAATATCCATATCAAATTTGTCTAGTTTTTTGATTAATTTAAAATTTGGCCAAAAAATGTGATAATACATACTTACCCTTAGAGTTCGAAACCAAAACTAAAAAAATTATAAATTATACATTATTGACAAGTCTTTTTGACATGAAACTTTTACAAAGGATTTTACATTCAAATAGAAATATTCATGTCAAATTTGGGAAATTTTTTGATAAATTTAGAATTTGGCCAAAAAATGTGATCGTACCCCTATAGTTCGAGACCAAAACTAAAAAAATATAATTTAGACATTACTGACAAGTTTTTTTTGATATGAAACTTTTAGAAATTATTTTACATGCAAATATAAATACCCATGTCAAATTTGGAAATTTTTTTGATAAATTTAAAATTTGGCCAAAAATGTGATGGTACCCCTAGAGATCTTGGTCAAAACAAAAAATATTATAATTTATACATTACAGATAAGACTTTTTGACATGAACCTTTTATAAAGGATTTTACATGTAAATATAAATATCCATGTCAAATTTGGAAATTATTTTGATGAATTTTAAAATTGGCCAAAAAAATTGGATAATACCCCTAGAGCTCGAGGCCAAAACTATAAAAATTATAATTTAGACATTAACGACAAGTCTTTTTAACATGAAACTTTTACAAAGGAATTTAAAAGCAAATAGAAATATCCATATCAAATTTGGTTAGTTTTTTGATGAATTTAAAATTTGGCCAAAAATGTGATGGTACCCCTATAGCTCGAGGTCAAAACTAAAAAAATTATAATTTAGACATTAACAACATGTCTTTTTGACATGAAACTTTTACAAAGGATTTTACAGGAAAATAGAAATATTCGTGTCAAATTTGGGAAATTTCTCGATGATTTTAAAATTTGGCCAAAAAATGTGATGGTACCCCTAGAGCTTGAAGCCAAAACTAAAAAAAATTATAATTTAGGCATTAACGACAAGTCTTTTTAACTTGAAACATTTACAAAGAATTTTACATGCAAATATAAATATCCATGTCAAATTTGGGAAATCTTTTGATGAATTTAAAATTTGGTCAAAAAATGTGATGGTACCCCTAGAGCTCGAGGCCAAATTTAAACAAATTATAATTTAGAAATTACTGACAAATCTTTTTGACATGAAACTTTTAGAATGGATTTTATGCAAATAGAAATATCCATGTCAAATTTGGTAAGTTTTTTGATGAATTTAAAATTTAGCCAAAAATGTGATGATACCCCTAAAGCTTGAAGCCAAAACTATAAAAATTATAATTTAAACATTAACGACAAGTCTTTTGACATTATACTTTTATAAAGGAATTTAAAAGCAAATAGAAAAATCCATGTCAAATTTGGCAAATTTTTTGATAAATTTAAAATTTGGCCAAAAAATGTGATAATATCCTTAGAGCTTGAGGCCAAAACAAAAAAAATTATAATTTAGACATTACAAACAAGTCTTTTTGACATGAAACTTTTACATAGGATTTTACATGCTAATATAAATATCCATGTCAAATTTGGCAAATATTTTGATGAATTTAAAATTTGGCCAAAAATGTGATGGTACACCTAGAGCTCGAGGCCAAAAGTAAATAAATTATAATTTAGACATTACTGAAAAGTCTTTTTGATATGAAACTTTTAGAAAGGATTTTACATGCAAATATAAATATACATGTCAAATTTGGCAAACTTTTTGATTAATTTACTGACAAGTCTTTTTGACATGAAACTTTTAGAAAAAATTTTATGCAAAAATAAATATCCATGTCAAATTTGGCAAGTTTTTTGATGAATTTAAAATTTGCCCAAAAAATGTAATAGTACCCATAGAGAGCTCGAGGCCAAAACTAAAAAAATTTTAATTTAGACATTGCTGACAAGTCTTTTTGACATGAAACTTTTAGAAAGGATTTTACATGCAAATATAAATATCCATGTCAAATTTAGCAAATTTTGATGAATTTAAAACTTCGCCAAAAATGTGATGGTATCCCTAAAGCTCGAGGCCAAAAATAAAAAAATTATAATTTAGACATTAACGACAAGTCCTTTTAACATGAAACTTCTACAAAAGAATTTAAAAGCAAATAGAAATATCCATATCAAATTTGGAAAGTTTTTTGATAAATTTAAAATTTGGCCAAAAAATGTGATAACACACCTAGAGCTCGAGGCTAAAACTAAAAAAATTATAATTTATACTTTACTGAAAAGTCTTTTTGACATGAAACTTTTACAAATAATTTTACATGCAAATATAAATATCCATGTCAAATTTGGGAAATCTTTTGATGAATTTAAAATTTGGTCAAAAAATGTGATGGTACCCCTAGAGCTCGAGGCCAAATTTAAACAAATTATAATTTAGAAATTACTGAAAAATCTTTTTGACATGAAACTTTTAGAAAGGATTTTATGCAAATAGAAATATCCATGTCAAATTTGGCAAGTTTTTTGATGAATTTAAAATTTAGTCAAAAATGTGATGATATCTCTAAAGCGTGAAGCCAAAACGATAAAAATTATAATTTAGACATTAACGACAAGTCTTTTTGACATGATACTTTTACAAAAGAGTTTAAAAGAAAATAGAAAAATCCATGTCAAATTTGGCAAATTTTTTGATAAATTTAAAATTCGGCCAAAAAATTTGATAATATCCCTAGAGCTCGAGGCCAAAACTAAAAAAAATTAAAATTTAGACATTACAAAAAAGTCTTTTTGACATGAAACTTTTACATAGGATTTTACATGAAAATATAAATATCCATGTCAAATTTGGCAAGTTTTTTGATTAATTTAAAATTTGGCCAAAAATGTGATGGTACACTTAAAGCTCAAGGCCAAAAATAAAAAAATTATAATTTAGACATTACTAACCAGTCTTTTTTATATGAATTTTTTAGAAAGGATTTTACATGCAAATATAAATATACATGTCAAATTTGGTAAATATTTTGATGAATTTAAAATTTGGCCAAAAAATGTGATGGTACCCTTAGAGCTCGAAGCCAAAACTAAAAAAATTATAATTTATACATTCGTGACAAGTCATTTTGACATAAAACTTTTACAGAGGGTTTTAAATGCAAATAGAAATATCTATGTCAAATTTGGGGAATTTTTTGATGAATTTAAAATTTGCCGAAAAAATGTGATAGTGCCTAGAGAGCTTGAGGCCAAAACTAAAAAAAATTATAATTTAGACATTATTGACAAGTCTTTTTGACATGAAACTTTTAGAAAGGATTTTACATGCAAATATAAATATCTATGTCAAATTTAGCAAATTTTGATGAATTTTAAAATTTGGCCAAAAAATGTGATGGTACCCCTAGAGCTCGAGGCCGAAACTAAAAAAATTATAATTTAGACATTAACGACAAGTCTTTTTAACATGAAACTTTTACAAACGAATTTAAAAGCATATAGAAATATCCATATCAAATTTGGCAAGTTTTTTGATAAATTTAAAATTGGGCTAAAAAATGTGATAATACCCCTAGAGCTCGAGGCTAAAACTAAAAAAATTATAATCTATACATTACTGATAAGTCTTTTTGTCATTAAAATTTTAGAAATAATTTTACATGCAAATATAAATATCCATGTCAAATTTGGCAAGTTTTTTTATGAACTTAAAATTTGGCCAAAAAATGTGATGGTACCCCTAAAGTTCGAGGCCAAAACTAAAAAAATTATAATTTATACATTATTGACAAGTCTTTTTGACATGAAACTTTTACAAAGGATTTTACATGCAAATAGAAATATCCATGTCAAATTTAGGAAAATTTTTGATGAATTTAAAATTTTACCAAAAAATGTGATAGTACCCCTAGAGCTCGAGGCCAAAACTAAAAAACAATTATAATTTAGACACTAACGACAAGTCTTTTTTACATGAAACTTTACAAAGAATTTTACATGCAAATAGAAATATCCATGTCCAATTTGGCCAAAAATGTGATGGGACCCATAGAGCTCGAGGCCAAAACTTAATAAATAATAATATAGACATAACTGACAAGTATTTTTGACATCAAACTTTTAAAAAGGATTTTACATGCAATTATAAATATCCACGTCGAATTGATGGTACCACTAGCGCTCGAGACCAAACTAAAAAATAATAACGTAGACATTATTGACAAGTATTTTTGTCAAGAAACTTTTACAAAGGATTTTACATGCAAATAAAAATATCTATGTCATATTTTTTAAACTTTTTTGATGAATTTAAAATTTGGCCAAAAATTGTGATGGTACCCTAGCGCTCGAGGCCAAAACTAAAAAAATACTCCCTCCGTCCCTTCATGTTTGTCCACTTTGGAATGGACACAAATACCAAGGCATGTAGGGACAAGGAAGAAGATTACATTTATACCCTTACTTTTGCTACTTTTGGAGATGGAGTACATGTGACGGCAGAAAAGAAAAAAAGAGAAAGAACTTTTAAAAAGAAAAAATTTACAGCCCATAACTTAATCATTACACCATCAAATCATTACTTTTTCCAAATCCTACAATTCTTTATTGTTTTGGCGGTAAAAATGGCGCCATTTTTTCTTCTTCTTCTTCTATATTTGGAAACCTCTAAACTGAATCTGCCAAGTCTTTCCTTCGAAAAAAAAGTGGGGTATTTGCAATCAGATTCATCAGATTCTCACTTCCTTCAGGATGGAGAACTTTCTTCAGATTCTTCATCTGCAAATCAGGTCCATCTTCCTTGCTTTTTAAGTTGACTTTTTTCTTCATTTGCACTTCTTCAATGTCTTCTTCCACCATCTTGCTCCCTTCACCTCCTGTCATAGAAACACAAACACAGCCCGAAGTGGAAATTGAAAATCAGTCAAATGCAGAAAATCAACGGGTTAATAATAAGTGCACACACAAACTGTGTGATGAAACTAGGGCTTTAATCATACAAACCCTTCTCCAAAACTTGAAGAAGGGGAAACCGGGCAGGGGTGTGATGAAACAACTTGCTGAGCAATACCAAATCAATCCAAAAACAGTTCAAAGATTGTGGGCAGAAGCTAAACAACAAATGAAAGATGGCATAAGTGTACGGGTCATTGGTCGAATGAAGGGAAAGTCTTGTGGGAAAGCAGGTCTACCCGTGGATAAGGTCTCAGCTGTGTCCCCCAGTAAAAGAAGAACCATTAGGGCATTGGCAAAGGCAGTTTCAATGTCAAAGACTAGCATACACCGATTGGTTAATCGAGGAAAACTCAAGGCTCACACAAATCCAATCAAGCCTCAATTGACAGAAGATAATAAAGTAAGGAGATTAAATTTCTGCCTGAGTAAGCTGCAACAAAACACTTTGCAGACAACCCCACAATTTCATGACTTTTATGAGTATGTGCATGTGGATGAGAAATGGTTTGAAATGACTCAAGCTACACAGAGAATGTACTTGCATGCAGAAGAAGAAAGTAATCTGCATAGGACTATTCAATCCAAAAAACATATCACAAAAGTTATGTTCTTGGCTGCATCAGCCAGGCCAAGATTTGATGAAGATGGTGAGGTCTTATTTGATGGAAAAATTGGAATTTTCCCATTCATATTCACAGAACCTGCACAAAGGAATAGCAGAAATAGACCAAGGGGCACATTGGTTACCAAACCAGTACCAATAGTGAACAAAGATGTGTACAGGAGCTTTTTGATCAACAAAGTCATTCCTGCAATTAAGGAAAAGTGGCCTACTG